TTTTTTTTTTTTTGTACCAGGAATCAAACTCAAGACCTTACACTGGTGAGGCAGGCGCAGCACCACTGATACTGAATTCCTGGCCCCTTTCTTGCCTTTCGGTGGAATGCAGTGGCAAGATAGCAAGGCAGATTTCAAAGAGAAAGTTTCTCACAGATGGCATCTTCAAAGCTGAACTGAATGAGTTTCTAACTCAGGAGCTAGTTGAAGATAGTTTCTGTGCACTTGAGGTCCAAGTTATATCAACCAGGACAGAAATCATTATCTTACCAGGATATATAAGAAGTTCTTGGTGAGAGGATTCGAGGATTTTAAAACTGAACACTGTGGTTCAGAGGAACTCTGGCTTCCCTAAGGTAGTGGAGAGCTTAATGCTACAAAGGGGGCCACAAAAGGTCTGTGTGCCATTGCCCAGGTAGATCTCTGCCTTACAAACTCCTAGGAGGCCCCACTGTGTGGAAGGCGTGCTACAGAGTGCTGCAGTTCACAGTGGACAGTGGGGCCGAGGGATACAAGGTGCTGTGTCTGGGAAACTCCCAAAACAGAGGAATAAGTCTGGGGACGGTTTGATCCACAGTGGGTAACTACTATGCTGACCACCATGAGCCAAGTGCTGCTCAGAGAGGGTGTGCCGGGCATCAAAGTAAGATCATCCAAGTGGCAAGATTGGCCCCAAGAAGCCCCTACCTGACCATGAGAGCATCACAGCCCCAAGATGAAATCCTACATACCACCCCTATCTCACAGCAGAAGGCTGGGAACCCAGAGCCGCCTACCATGCACCAGCTGGGCCCTATCGCATAACAGGCTTTCCTTGGCAGCTGTATCTCAAAAAAGGAAGCTGCAGTGTAAACACATTCAATAAATCTTGCATAAAGACAAAAAAAAATGGTAAGGAAAGGTCGCCTCTTAGCTCTTGTCTTTATATAACCAAACCCAAAACCTAAGGAGAAGATGTTCATGGGGTGTGCCAAGCCAACAGGTCCTTCTGGACCCAAGATTAACTGTTTACAATCCAGTGCAACTGGACTGTGTGTGAAGAAAAATCCAGTGAGATCAAACTTGATGCTCTGGCCTGATCTGGTGGCCCAGCTTGAGCACCATACAGTTTCTTCCAGAGTTCTCACTGATGTCCACATGGAAAAAATAGAAGTTCCACAAGCACCAAGTTCTTTCTAAATTCTCTGTAAGTACTAAGTTCAGTCCCATCAATCCTCTGGCAAGGGCAGTCAGGCAGAAGAAGAGTGCACTAACCCCCAAGGCAGCTAGGAGTGTAAACAAAGTGTAGTACCCACGACAGAATCAAGGATGAAGTCTGGCATGGGGTTTTCAAAATAAGAAAGTATGACCACAGAACAGGATGGACTTGCACGGTCTTCACAGCAGTCCCTCACACCTGCCCTTACAAAGAACAAATAAAAGTCCGTGAGATATTCTCTAAGTCAGTGACAGCGGATAGATTTCAGGCAATCTATCTGAATTCCAGAACATTACAGCACTGTGCTCATACCGGAAACCCAGAGAATAACTTTCTATCAACTAGAACAAAGGCCAAAAGTCTCGATAAAATAAAGGATTATCCTTCAAAATAGACTATCAGACATCTGACTCATAAATTTGTTCATCTGTCCTTGTTAGACATGTGCATGGTGCTAGAAACACGCTGATTTATCTATAGAATGATGTGTAACAAGACATGATTGGTTTTTAAATCCTTGCAGTTTGCCTTTATAGGTAAGACACCAGGGAAAATTGTGCAAAATTGAGCATAAAATGTTGTCAAAATCATGTCTGAGGACAGACTCGGTTCTGGGTACTTGTAAACATAACCTATTTCATCCTGTAGATCAACAGTAATGTTTGGCTAGAATTGGTGTTCTGGATTATATACAGGAACTTGAATTTGGTGGCTGCAGTAGCATGTCCACAAAGCTGCAGTTCCGCTTCCTCTCAATTGAAGTGACAAAGTTTTTCCCAGCCTGTTTCAGGACTGTCTCCAATGAAGCACCAGGCTTCCAGCTAGAAAGGGCACAGCTGGATGGCCAAAGCCAACTTGTACCCAGAAGCTCGTTTCCTTTATTAAGGATTTTGACTATATCTACAAATACGATCCAAGCAAATTTAGTCAGGCAGGACCTTCTCAAGGAGATGGATAATCTGTGTGCAATGAGATCCTGCAGCTCTCTAAGTACATGGCCTCAAAAGTGAGAGGTCAACTTTGACAGGAGGGACCTTCCGTGGCTGGTGCTGAGACCCTGAAAAGACTCCCTCCCATCAATCTTATTGTTTATTTGAGTGTGAAGTTCCAGGACAGAGAGTGATACTACTTTTGCAAAATTTGGGAAACAGAAGAAACACTGTTCCCATTTTAGTTAAAGCTTTGCTGTTCATGCCCCTACATATAAACAAATATCAAAGAAATACAACCTTCTTCCCAGGAAAAATTTCTGAGCCAGTAAAAGAAATGGTAGCATTTCAAGGCTCTAAAGTCAGGTGTTGGACCTGTTCATAAAGTAGCCCCTCTATCAAGATTCCTAGTTCAAAAAAAAAGATTCTTAGTTCAAACTCTTTAAATAGCTGTAAACCACCAGCCTAGTCATCAACCTAACAATCCTTCTTCCCCCATTGCAACCTATCAAGTTTTTGTCAGGGCTGCCCCTACCTACCAGGAACAAATTTCCTCTACTCCTGAGGTTCCAACCTTCAGGCTGGCCCAATCCTGAGTGTCCTGCCATAGCTTACCAATTATTGATCACTGCCACTTTGCCCCCTTACACAATGTGAGTCAACAGACTCCTTTAATTCAGGAGAGTTGGACCCACAGTCTTGTTATTTGGACTTTGGCAGGTGTGGCCACAAATGGCCAGCTTTCCAGGCCTGGGGATGTCACCTCTGGCCTTAGTCAGTTTTCCTCTCAACCTTTCTCTCCTTAGCTACATCCAGTTCAGTCAAGACACACACAAAAAAGCAAAGCTGCTAGGTGATAGAAGCTAATCTCAATAAAGATTAACCTCCCAGGCTGTGGCAGATAAACACTCATGAAGTAGATAAAACCAGAGAGAGCTATTCTAATGCTAATGAAAGAACTGACGTCATTGCTGAAGAGAGGCACGATCATCAGAAACATGGAGAATACGCAGAACATGATGGGAAAAAAGAGGCTCAGCCTCTCCGGCTCTTTCCAGTGAAGGTAGAGCTGTCCAACAACAGAGATGTCTAAAGAGAAGCAGTAACTGAAGTAGTTAATGAGCAGGAAAATATTCTCCACAGTGAGGTGGATGAGTGTCATAGTGCAACTGAACAATAAAGCAAGGATGGGCGTAAAACACTCAGTGTAGATCAGGGACAGAGGTTCAGGAGACAGTCCTCATGGAAGCCCACAAAAAACAACCTTAATAAAGCAAAGAAAGATGCACTGAGGTCACCAAAGCAAAACAGAGTAATAACAGGGGACAGGGGTTTAGCTCAGTGGTTCCACCGCCTGACTCGCAAGTGCAAGGTCCTCAGTTTGATCCCCAGTACATCCCCAAAAAAAAAAAAAAAAAAAAAAAAACAGAGTAACAGCAACAGGGATGATCCAGCTGAACATGCCAAATGTCTGGCAAGCAAATGTCACAGCCATAACATCACGTTAAAGACAACCAAAATGCTCAGCACTATGTAGTAGGCCATGTTGGTCAGGATGTTGCTAGGCGTCCCAAATGGCACAGAGCCCAACAGCCAAGCAAATTTCTTCCTGGATTTTTTAGTTCTTCTGTTACAAAATTAAGGGTGTTCCTACCTGATTAGGAGAAGAGGATAGAGGGCAAGAGAAAGGTCTTCCACAGCTCAGGAGGAGCCTCAAAGGCATCCTGAAAGTGCTCCAAGTATACCTGGCAGTTTAACAAGGACCTTGATAATGACAGGAGTGAGCACAGGACCTTGGTGTGAGTGAACATGTCCTGATTTGTGTACCTCATTTGACAGAGGCACAGTTCACAAATGTCAGCAGACCTGTGCAAGGAGTAAAAGGAAACAGAAGGCCAAGTAGGAGGGATCACAGGTGAAGAAGGCTGGATGATACCGTGGGGAAAGGTGATGGTGATTAGCCTGACTGGTGGGTTCAACAATTGGCAGTGAGGTCCACAGGTGAATAAAGGCAACGACGGCCCCAAAGACCTCTAGAATGTAAGCACAGCTGGCCCTGACTTGGTGATGGTGGTCCCCAGCTCCACATAACAAAGGGCACAGAGAAGAGCCCATCAGTGGTCCACATGACCAGTGACAACCCCTACAAGGTATGGCAGCAGCCCCTTGCGTGACACAAAGATCCCTGAGCTGATCATATTGCCCATTCAGCAGGGAGATGTCCTTCTCTTTTTATTTATATAACATATATAAAAGCCTTTCTATGAAAAAATAAATTTTCATCACAAAAAATTACTGCCCATTCAGCAGGGAGTTGCATAGTTTCTGGGAACCCTCAAGGTGGAAAGCTGGCATCTTCCACACTGAGTGGCTGGCCTCAGAGACAAAATAGTAAGTAGGTTTTAGGTTCCCAATCTCCCTGGATTCCACAGCAAATAGTTTCTGCACATCTGTGTTTACTGTGACCTGTCACAAAATAAGATAGGTGAAAAATCACACTTTCATAACCTGCTTCATCATGAACAGATCAGGTAAAATGAAGAAAATAAAGTAACTATACTTGTCTATTTTGGCCATTTAATCTCTCATGATAGCCAAGCACAGCCAGGATGCTCTCCCTTCAAGGCATATTTCTTTTTTTTGGGAGGAGGGGTACTGGGGATCAAACTAAGGTCCTTGCACTTGTGGGGCAGGCGCAAAACCACTGAGCTAAAACCCCGGCCCTCAAGGCATATTTCTACTGAGCACTCCTCCACATTCTTCATCATTACAATGTAATAGGCAGGGCGTGGTGGCACACACCTGCAGTCCCAGCACTCCTGAGGCTGAGGCAGGAGGATTGCTGTGAGTTTGAGACCAGCGTGGACTACATAGTGAGTTCCAGGTCATTCT